TCTACAAATATGTTTTGTCATTTAATGGTATAAAACTTAATTATGAAGACAATTTATTTATAAACATAAAATATAAAATATTAATTAAGTATTTTTTGGCACAAAAATTTTCCAAAATTCTAAAAATGGAGTTAATCATTTTAACAATGAACGGCTCTCATACGAATATACATGTTATTATAAAGCTTATATATTATATATATATATTATATATATATATATATGATAAGCATATAACAATAAAAAAAATTGTATACCATGATCCTCGGAATAAGACATACAATAATCGCGTGGCAATCAACGTATCGAAATACGTATATTTCCTTCGACGACGTATACTTATATAGGCTTTAGTACAATTATGTTCGTTTAAACGTAATAGAGGTTAACGTGGTTCTGATTAGCATGTGTGATCCAGTTCCTTATATTTTTCCTCTTCATTCCGTAACATCCTTAACATCGTTCGTTCCCATAAATTCTCTTCCGACTCTCACTTTCTCTTTTTCGTGTCTTATTCTCTTTTATCTTTTTCTCTATCTTTCACCTTCAACTATCCTACGTTCTCTTTCTTCAATCTTGTCGTCCTTGTCTTTACCATCGTACTTTTCTTGTCTCTCTCACCACAGATCCCTTGTCATCGTTCACTCTTCTTCTCTATACTACAAAAACTTTCTTCATCGCGTCTTATTCGTTTCTATTCCTATTACGTCATCCTTTTTTGGTACTTGATTAACTTGATTAACACGACAAAAGAAGCGTCATTGTTGGTTGGGGATGATTAGACAGTGGGGGCCTAGGGTTTTGGCGGGAGCGTTTGAGTGTATAGAGGGCTTGTCGGGGGTTAGGGGGGGAGGTCATCAAAAGGGGGTTTGGGGAAGGAGGTAGTGCTGGAAATAAGGTATTAACGACCCTGAGAGAGATGAGACCTCTTTGGAAGTTCCACTCCTCCGGGTGGTTATTTCAACCCTGCGGCGACGTTTGCGGAGAAATTTCGGTGTCGCCATCTCCCGAACCTGGATCACCCTTCGACTTATTCTCCTTCTTCCATTTCATCCGCCTGTTCTGGAACCAGATTTTTATCTGCCGTTCCGTAAGACAAAGGGCGTGCGCTATCTCGATACGTCGCCGCCTCGTGAGATATCTGTTGAAGTGAAACTCCTTTTCCAGCTCTAAAGTTTGATACCGGGTGTACGTTTGTCGGCCTCTTTTTCTTTCTGCGAACAAATAAATAAATATTGTTAAGGTTAACATTTGAATTTATTCAATATTCCAAATAATGTTAAAGAGTTCAGTTCAATATGAAGAATATAAATTCATTCGAATCCACGTAACATTAATCATTGATACTAATAATTAAATTTTATAAACATATTACATAAATATTAATATTATTTAAATATATAAGAATCATTTATTTTCATTTTTGAAATCGTAAGATTAAATATTAAAAAAAAAATAACACAAAATCTTGAATTATAAATTATATCTTAAATTGTAGATTAACCGGGTGGTATTTAAAAAAAATGTCAACAAAAATAAACGATATCAAGATAGAATAATAAAAAGATTAATTCTCATGCCTCGGGAATAAGAGAAAAGTACGACGGTAAAGTCACGAAAGAATTTTTTCGAAAGTCCGAGGAAATTCAAATACCTGGGGGTTGCGCGAACGCGAATTTACTTATGATAGATAACTTAACGATATCCGCGTCTTGATCTGCGGCCTTACACTGCGGTTATACACGAATCTCGAAGGAGAATATTAATTGTAGTCGCAGGAAGAAAGGGAGCAAAAAGGACTTAAAGAGAAAAAGAGAAGAAAAGATAGATAGAGAGAGAGAGAGAGAGAGAGAAAGAGAGAAAGAAAGGGAGGAGGTGCTGGTGCAAGGATTAAAAAAAGAAAGGAGTTGAAAAAGGAAAAAAAAAAGAAGAAGAAGCAGAAAGTTGGCTCTGCAAGGCAGAGTCCGTGAGAGAGGCACAACCTCGTCGAGGTATCATCTCAAAGAGTTAGATTGGTCCACCACACGAGCGCGAGAGGGCAAAACGAGAATATTTCATGGTTGGGATGAAGAAGAAAGAGAGAGAGAGAGAGAGACAGAGATAGAAAAAGAGAAAGAGAAAGAAACAGGGTGAGTGAGAGAAAGAGATGGGAAACGAAAAAAAGGAGTCAGAGAGTCAGCGAGAATGAAAGAGAAAGAAAGAGAGAAAGAGAGAAAGAGAAGAAGGGAAGGAAAAAGAAGAGGAAAAAGAAAACTCCTTGGCGAGCATTCGAGGCAAACGCCGCCCGTCGCGCTGTCGGCCGATGAAGACGGATGGCGGTTCTCCAGCAGAAAAGAGAGACGGACAACTCTACGAGGATTCTGAATCGTTTGGCCAAGCTGAGATGGAAGACTCAAAGAGGAAAGAAGAACCCAGCTAGAAAGAGAGATAGAAAGAGAAAGGGATAGGGAGGGGGAACTCTGAGAACATGCCCCTTATTCCCTCCTTCAGGCTACGCTCTCAAATTAACAGCATACCAATCTCTAGCACTTTCTTATAAGGTCTAACAATTCGGACAACATCTCTCTAGAATTCTTCCTTCTAAACTTTCATTTTTCTTATCTGATTTTTATCATTGCTTTGTTTTACTTTTTTTTTGTAATATTAGCATATTTAGATTAAAATAATCAATTTTTGGGGTAATGACCATCTATGGATAATAATAACATCGGTAATGACCAATTTTTGTTATTAACTATTAACAAACTTATTTTACACATCATCGAGATCTAAAGACATTTTTTTTTTGCGACTAGAAATACGACTAATGAGCATTACCAAATTCCTTTGGATGAAAGGACTATCTGTCTGTATGAAGAGTTCATCGAAATAGGACTAATTTATTAAAGACAATCTTATTATCAAAGAGCTCAGTTATCATTGGACCTTTTCGAGCAATGCACGTCGTAGAGAAACGTCTGTAGCGCGCAAAATCACACGACACCCAGTTAACGAAGTTAATTATAATGTCCGTTCGTATCGAAGAATGTAAACGTATTGCCAAAGCTTTCCTGGAACGTACTGCATATTTGTATCTAAATATATTCCATTACGTAAATTTTATTTAGAGATAATACTTGTTATATGAACGATTTTAGTATAAAGAATTTGACATAAAATTGACATTTAAAAATTTTTTTATATTAAAGTATAAAAAAAAGAAGTTATTTAATCCTTCCATTAACGATAGTTTAACTTTGGTAACAAGTAACGTTATTATAAGCCTGGTCTTGGTGTCGAGGCATGTGGGATTAATTAAAGAGGCAGGCAGCGTTCCGTACTTGTACACACTTGTATGAGATTACACGTACGCGCAATACGCGCTTGTAGGCGAACAGTGTCATAGCAACTCTGTGAACGCGATCCTTTACACACCTAGTATCACTCGAATATCAGGGAGTGTTTTCGAACTTAAGCACTTACGGATTTTGTCTACGATTAATTATGGAAAAACGGGAACGTTAACAAAAACTATTCTACCTTTCATTTAAATTAACATGATGAAAATATATATATATATACGAAGGCCATTAGTCATGTTGTAATTAATTTCATTTGACATTATTATATAACTTACAAATAAAAATATTATCGAATACAAAAGTTATTGATTTAAAAACTGAATTTGATATCGTACAAGATACTATTATTATTTAATCTCGTTGTACCTAATTAAATAACATTTGTTCTAAAAGAAATTTCATCTTGTAACCACATGTACTCGCATAAATGTAGTCATCGACTTTCGATCGGTAGTTTAGTCGCACATTATGGACAAGCAACGAGTCAGAGTCAATCCGGATCATTGGCTTTGCCATCTCGAATGATCAAGTATTTTGCAAAGTTTCAAGTCAAGGAGTCAGTATGTATATATACGTATATGTATGTGAATCGGAAGGGTTCAAGCGACTAAATACATTTGTCAAAGTCACGTTTAAAGCCAGTATAGGTTAGCGTCTTTTACATAAAGTCTCGATCTAATTACCGACCTTAGTTCTACGATCGTACGAGAGACACAACGAAAGCAGTCGATCAAGTGGTCGCTGAGCAAAAACCTTTTAGCGATCGTAGTAAATCTTTTGGTAGAACGATCGATCACCGGAGCCACGAGGAGAGACAAGGCCGTACAGCGAGGATAAGTTAATAGTCACGGAAATCCCTGCGAATTCGCTCTTATCTATACGCCAATGATTAATGTTACGCGGTATCGTTAGCGCCAACAGGTGCTCGATTAACTCGAGCACGATCTTCATTGCGTTCGACGTGTTCAACGCTTAACGAAGAGATCAACCTGAACATATCGCAGTTATTCATCGATTTTCATCATATTCCTATGAAGAATCTAATACAGATATGTAAACTTTTATTTCTATACTATATAATATCTTTTGAACTTATATATAAAATAAGTAATACCTATTAATCTAAAACATTTCGTATATGATCTTATCGGTCATCGAGATGAAGACAAAATTCGGTTGTTTTCGTCAGGAACAGCCAATAAGCGTTTGATTAAAAAACCTTCCTTAAAATATCTGACCTTAAGGTTGACCGCGTAAAGTTTAGCTTAATTGGGCAGTGGCCAGTGGGTACGCCTTATTAGCGGATTACAACATCCGGCTAGCTGTTAATCTGAAAAGTCCTGCATGTATCCTACGGCGGGACTGAAAGACCAGTCGAGAGGGAGTCTAAGGAGGTAGGTGGTGGAGAGGAATAAAAGAAGAAGGAAGAAAAGAAGGACGATGGGGAGGATGAGGGGAGGAAGGGGGGAAGGAGGAAAAGGGTGAAGGCTGAAATGGAGGGGTAAAGCGGTAAGGTGGGTGAAGAGTGTAGCGGAGGAGAAGCGGAGCAACTAGCCTATAATAAGCCGTACGGTTGTGTATGTTCTGTTCTGTTCCGTTCCTTCATGCTGCGCCAGTGAAGGCAGACCCATAAATCTTTCGGGCATACTCCAGGGGACATTTGATCCTTGCGTAACCCAACGCCGTTAATTTATTGCTCCGCGTTTAAAGTCACCATAGTCCGCGCGAGTGCACCGACATAGCGGCAGCAGCTTCTCAACGTAAAACTGAGAAAACCGGATCAGCTTTTCTTCTTATCGACTGTCTTAGCAAAGATTACGTATTACTGATCGTCTCTTACCGATAATTCCTTGTTTATCTTGCTATCGTTAGTAATCGTAATTCTGGAAACCTTCTAGAGGATCACTTAAATACAATCCAAAAGTATGTTTTTCTTTTTAGAAAACTATGATACCAAATTCTTATTTCTTTTTTTTGAAATATGAAACTCAGGAAATACGTGCTTTTTTCATAAGAGGAAATCCTGAAGAAGCAGGACATAACTAGAATGCGTGCGTGTGTTCTTTTTTACTAACTAAATCCCACGTACAAGCTTGATGCCATAGTTTCTTTGATTCGTCACGCTTCCGCCATATTTTACAAGAACTTATTTCCCTTGAATGAAAACAAGATGAGGAACATCTTGAATCTATCCCTAAAAACGAATCACTCATAATTACGTTCTTTCCAAGTGTACCTACCTTGATAAAAAAAAATAAACAAATACAAAAAAAGGAAGAAAAAAGACGGGCAAAAAGAACATAATCTAAGAGATCGAAGAAAACGAGAGGAACGTTGGGATGTCGTCATCGGATAGAGCCATTTAAAGATTAAACTTTTCCAAAGGGGTGGTATTTCGATGAAAGAGACATGTACGAATTATTTTTCCAGGATTAGGGAACACGACATGAAAGTGATCTTAAGTGTTCCACCTGGAGTGTAGAGTGTAGGTACAAAGAGAAAGAGAGTCAAAGAAAAAAAAAGAGAGAGAGAGAGAAGGAATTCAACAGAGGATGCCGACAAGTAACCCCAAGAAAGAGGAACGTCAACCTGGCTGACACTCATACGAGGAACTTAGAATGAAGTCTCACCAAGAAAAAGAAAGAGGAAATCCTCGCATATCGGAGGATGCTCTCTCTTTTTTTCTTTCTCTTTTTTGTCTCATTCCCTCTTTCTCTCTCTCTCTCTCTTGAGAGGACCGCTGAACAGAGAAGACAAAGTCTGAAAGCCTCGGGGAGCTAAGTCGAGAGATAATGAACGGTTAAAATGGCTCGACCGACATCTACGCAACAACATGGTCTTCTTTCTTCATATCGAAAGCTTTCTTTCTTTTTTTTCTTTTTTTTTTTTTTCCTTTTCTTTACCAAATATTCTCTTCTACAGATTGGATCGAATATTTCGAATAACAAGAGATTTTTCAAATCATTCCTAATCAAACGCAGTTTCTCCGTTACATTTTTTTTTTCTTTTTTCTTTTTCTTTTTACTTTTAGTTTCCTAAAAACAAAAACTTTTTTTTTTTTTTTTAGGAAATTGGTATGCACGTCTTTATCTCTTTCTATCTAATACTTGAACTGTTTAAGAGAAGTCATGGCGGTGTAGCTCAAAAGCAAAAGCAGTCGGAACGTCTGTTAAGGCATTCATCATCGTCATTCGTCCCTTCGACCTTCTCCGAGCACCAACTATATCCTCATCTCTCTCTCTCTCTTTCTGTCTTTTTTCTTTTTTTTTTTTATCTTTCTTTATCTTTCCTTCTTTCTATTCCTATCTTCTTCTCTCCATTTTCTCAACGCTCCTCCTTCTACACCTCCTTTTCGAGTCCATCCCTTTTTAAATATCTCACGAAGCCGCCATCATTACGGTAACCAATCATGAGAGCTTCTACGAGAGGCTGCCTCTCCGTCGAATTATAACTAAATACATTTTTTTTTCGCTATTTTTTTGTCTTTCTCTCTCTCTCTCTTTCTTCTCTTTCACCCTTTTTTCTCACTTTCTCTCTCTTTCTTGTCGGATGAGAATTAACCGATTCCCGCGATCCCGAATGCTTTACAAAGGTCAAATCCATCCGCTTGCCATATGGTTTCTCAGAAACTCGCATCGTACCGATATCTGGAGAACTTTCTGAATGGAGATATTGTGTCCTCGCGAACGAGAATAAGATATTATTCATTTATTTCATTCTTCTTCTTTTTTCTTTTTTTTTTTATCAATATAAATTACGTTACATTGAATGAATGAAATGAATTATTATCACAGATAATTAGCTGGAATTATATAACACGTTAATCGTTAACCTATCACCGCACAATATAAAATTAATCTCAATTAGCGTAACTGTCATTACTTAACATCCATGTTTCATTTCCAAGGAGAAATGACGCGATTAATATTTCCTATCGCAATTGATTAATTCGAAGAATCACGAAATGCTTTTAAATTCGCGTATATATTCATGGTTCATCAGTAAAATCGACTTCTCTTTAACTTTTCTAAACTCCATTTACGTTCAATCTAAAACTCTCAGAAAGTTCATTAACGTTTGATCCAAAGCTCATCGAAATTCTATTAGCTTTTAATCGAGTGATACGTTTAAAAAGAAATTTTTACTCTATCGAATCGATCTTAGAGATTGAGAAAGAGAGAGAGAGATAGAGAGTTAATAAATTAGAACATATAATACGTTAAGAATTAATATTATAAATTATTATCTCGTTTATATATATGAATTTATGAGAAAACATAAGGCAAAAGATTAAAATGTATTTCATTGAATTCTTTGAACGAACAATAATCTAAAAAAAACGATCTTTAAACTGATTTTATCTCTCCGTAGTTCACTTGTTCGTGCGAATCGATTAACAGAAGCTTAACACCTACATAATCGTATGGCAACGTTGATTATGTAGGAGGAGAGGTGGATACTATAAATCTTTCTATGTAGAAGGATCGCGATTATCTCGTGCATTAACAGTACTTTTCAAATCGATGTTTCCTTTACTTATCACTTCCGATCGTTTTATGAAAATATCTAATTTTTCTATTACCTAATATCTTATTAAATTTGTATCTCATCCCTTATTTCCCTTAACATGTAAATATTTTAAATATTCAACAGTTAGCTGTGATATAACGAGTATACTCATCATGCGAAAAAACTAGTTACCATATGCTTTTTAATCAGTTAGTTGTGGTAAAATATGTATGCCTAATTTTGTTGTAAAAATTATGCAAAAACACAAAACATCGTATTTTTTTTCTTAACGAGTATACTCGTTAATCAGAGAGAGGTTCGTCTAGTCGTAAATAAAAGATATGTCTAAAAATAAATGAAGAATATTAGTCATTCGCAATTCGTAGAAAATAGTCTAGACGGTGGGTAAGTATCTAAGGTAAATAGAAAACAGCGTGAATAGTATCTGATTAAAAGCACGTTCAAGTGTAAAACGTTTTGCCCGTGGAAAAATTAGGAAATTGTCGATGCTAGTGGCAAATCGCGAACAGATTTCTAATCGCAAATGTTCCACGAACTTCGATGCTAACGGGCACCCACTTATTCGCATGCTGCTCTTTTGTGGATACGCTCAACTATGCCAGAATTTCTTAACGTATGTATATAAGTAAAAGTTTTTCTCGCTAAAGGTGGCAGCGAATCTCGACGGTTTCAACGGCGCAAATGCCTGAGAGCACCTGCATCTATAAAATTGAATCATGCATTATTCATGGGACACGGTTTATAGCGCGCTTTGCTCAGCTGCTATTTTGCAATGTATAAAGAAATAAAGAGCAACGATGGAAAATCGAAATAGTTCACTTTTTATTTTCTATAAACGAATAAGTATCTATTTGATTGGTCATTAAAAAACAAAAACAAGCGATGCTCACGTGAAAGAAATTTTTGGCTATAACGAAGATACGAGAATTCAAGTTCAATGATAATTAATCGATTCAAATTTCACTCTCGTATTATTATTTCAGAAGTTATTTAACTAGAAGAAATTTGTCTTTACGGTAAATGAAGAAACCCCCATCGATCAAAGTTATGGCTTCCAAAAAAGAAAAGAGGAAAAAAATTACTCAACCCAAAACAGGTTTTACGTGCCGACATCTGTAGGGAGTTTGAGGGACCCAGTCCACCTTCTTCATTTCTTAGTGACTATGAACAACCATCGTCATAAAACCGGAACGTTTATCGGCCAATCGCCTGCTGTTACCTGCCACTAGTTGTTTCCAAGCTTAACCGAGAGATGGTACATGAAGACTATTCAGATCTCAGTCAATAACAATGAGAGATTGCGTAGAAATTATATATGCAATCAATTAAAATATGAAAAAAATTTAGATAGGATAAAATAAAATAAAATAAAATATAAACTATTACCTTGCAATAACACGTTAACGAATACGATCGACTCACAAGATTTCAACCGGAGAAGTTACACCGACGAAGAAGGATCAACGACTGACGAGAAAAATTCAGCACAGAAAAGAAAAAGTTCCCTGGGGTTGTTTTCAAGGCTACATTTTACGTAAATTCAGACCTTTTCAATTCAAAGATGATATTTTGAAAAGACTACAATAACTAAGAAACGAAGGGACTAAGGAAAAGTAGAACAATAAAAGCAAAGAAAAGAGAGCTTGGAAATTGTGCACCACCGAGCATGGCTTTGACCGAACCTTGTCTACCTCAATTATACGGTGAGCCTATTATCACTTCGTTATAAAAGCCATAAATTCTTGTCTGGAAATCATTTCTTTTTTACCCAAGTAAAATTGCAGGAATATGTCTTGTAGATACAAAATTGTACTTAAAAATTTTCAACGAACGAACCAATTTCGAAATTTGATTTCACTTTGGTCCCAATGCACGAAGAAAGAAAAAGAGAAAGAGAGACAAAATATCGTGCGAGTTTACGGAAACACGTGACGTATATTTAAACGTAGAAACGAGTAATACGTAGCAATATCGTGGCTAATTAAAATGCGACACGGGGAATAACGAAAACAGGAGAGTGGTGTTAATGGGATGCAATTAATTATCGAGTAGTAGTGGATACGTATATGTACATGGGACTACAAGCTAATTATTCCAACGGCTCGTGCTCATTTTTATCGCAGTACAATAATTTAAATTAATTAAGTAGTTCCTTTTTTTACGTTGTTTTATTTTTTCAAAATACTCTCAAAGCGTATGTAGTTCACAGTCGAAAGCGTAGATCGGAGAACCGGACAATAATGACTCGTCGTCGTTGTCTTCGTCGTAGTTGCCAAGCAATAAGATAACTTTTATGGGGGTCAGGTCCGCAGATGGTGAAACCACCGGGCTAAAAGGTCGAAGCAATAAATAACTCGGTTGTTAGCTAGTATCTACCTAAGAAATACGGTATAGAGTCGTATACGTCTATCCAGAGTCACAGCTCGTACAAATCTGGACTAGTTTTATGCTTATTGTATAAATTTGAAAAGAAACGAGCAGCAGGAAGTAATGCCTGAGAAAGTTTCTGTAAAAGTCCCGATTACGACGAAAGGCTCAAGCCTATTTTCAAGAAACGTGTTATGTAGAACGTAGTTAGATCATGCACTGATATCACAAGAATTTCTAGAAAAACGGAATATTTCGTCCGTGGGAAGATTTCGCAAGATAGTCATGTATGAAGTTAAAAAAAAAAAAAGTCTAACTTGCTCACCGAATTGACTTCGCATCCAAGGATAAAGAGGACTGGGTAGGTTCGAGCTGGTGGAAGGCTGAGGGGCGGGTTGTTGTTGCTGACCAAGCGGCGAAGCTACTACCCCCTGATGTGGCTGCGTTTGAGGCTGCTGCTGAGGATGCATGCCAGGTTGAGGCTGTTGCGTCGTACCCTGTTGTTGTTGCTGTTGTTGCTGATACATCATGTGCTGTTGCTGCGCCTGTAGATGGTGTTGGGACTGTTGCTGTTGATGAGTCTGTTGTGCCTGTTGAGCCTGCATGTGAGGATGTTGGGTGTGCATTTGATGGTGCATTTGAGTCTCGACGGCGAGCGGCGGACTATCCGGGCCATCGAGAACACTTCCCTGATGATCGACGGCAGCTGCTTGAAGTTTGCAGCTCGCATAAACGATCGGCGTGGAAGGATGACCGTTCGACGTGGAAGGATGACCGTTCGACGTGGATGTGAGACCCATGTGAGCCATCCCCGTGGTCGGTGAGGCCGACCTGTAGCTCGCCATACCGTCCATTCCAGCGTGCTCCTGTTGATGCTGATAGTAGGCCGCGTTTCGCATGTCGATCCGATTGTATGGCGGAAACCTCGGATATGGCATGTCCTGTTGTCCACCGGCCCCACCGGCACTCCCACCTGCCCCATAATGGTGCGCGGACACCGCCTGTCTGAGCAAACTCGGATCGCACGGATCGCCAGGTTGCTGCGATTGTTGCTGTACCGATTGCGTTTGCTGAGGCACCTGTACCGCGGCACCGTAGTGCTGCTGATGCTGATGCGGGTGTTCCACCCCGCCATTTCGCAGGTCCGGGATGTACGAATTCGCGAAGTACGAACTCATGCTATACTACTACTGTCCCGCCTCTCCCACCTGCCGATATCACCACCACCCTCTCCACCCTCTTAATCTCTGTCTCTCTTTTATTTTCTTTCTTACTTTTTATAGACTCCTTCTCACAAACTGTCCTTCCTCGATCTTCTCTTTTGTTTTGTTTTATTCACTTTTTTGTATCTTTTCTTTTCCTCCTCTTCTGTTACCCCCTATATAACTAAACTTTTTGTACTCTCCGTACGCACACACTGGCACACGTCTTTACATGGATGTATACATATACATTTACATATATTATATATTTATCACTTCTAACCGTGTATCTTCGTAATCCTTGCCCTCGCTCTCGCACCCTCTCTCACCCTCTCTCTCTCACTCTCTCTCTCTCTCTCTCTCGCTCTCTCTCGCTCTCTCTCTCGCTCGTTCACTCGCTCGCTCTCACCCTCTCGCTCTATTTCGCTTCTTCTATTCACACACACACATAAATCTGACACGCGCGCACCCTTTTCTCGTAGTATCACACCACCATCACCTCTGATCACTGGTACATATTATTTGATTTTTATCACACTTGGCTCACCACCGAAGAAAGAAAAATCGGAAACTGGAGCAACGATGGGAGGGAACGTTAATATCGAGACGCAAAAAGGGGGGAAGAGTCGTCGCGCACACGAGGAAAGGGGAGGCTTCTAGTCAGAGTCCTTCGTCTTCCCCGATATGATTCCTTCGTTTACTGCACCAAGCTGCTTCGGACGCGTTTCGATCCTCTGCCCACCCTATTGACGAAATTACGCCGCACCTGGAACAAAAACAAAGAATCGTCTCGATTAATATTTGTCCTAACCTATCAACCTTAAGTGAATTCTTAATCGTATCTGATATAAATTCAAATATAATTAAAATATTATTACAGATACATTTTACATACACAAATATTACAATTGTTTCAATTATTAAATTTATGTAATTTATATCAAATAAACACTAAGCATTATCATACTCCATGATTGCAATTTAACGAACACATGTACGAATCGGATCATTTTCAAATCCATTCTAACGATCTGTCTCGCGAGTCGTGAACCGTGAAATTATTTAAAACGATTGTCTACAGTCGAGTCATGCCTCGATCCAACTTGAAAATGCACGACGTAAAATGTCTCTTGACGATAGACTCGCACTTTGCCGATCTTTATCCGGCGAACCGAGTTAACCGAGTAAAGTCGAGCTCTGAGTGACAGAAAGCGACGTGAACACGTGCTCGTCACGGTAACGGCCATCGCCCAGACGCCGAACTTGTTACGGCCTTCTCTATGTGGGCGGGCTAAACGATCGTTAAATTTGGAAAAATTTTCTTGCCCCGACCAGCGTTCCTACTAAATTCTCTCGGAAGCCTTTTCTTCTATTTTTCTTATTCTTTTGTCCATTCTTTTCTTATTCTTAAAAGGGTTACAATAGTCTGTGGTATGAAAACTATAATTTATTTCTTATTCATTTTTTCAATAATCTTTTTATATCGTTTAATAAAAAAAATGTGTAAAGCTGATCTATTTAAATGATTTTTTCTTCTGTTCTTGTTTAAAATTATATATTTATTGTTATAAATAATAAAAAATGAAACTTTGTTTATAAAAAAACATATATTAAAGATATATTAAACAAAGAAAAAATATATAGTTTATGGTAATATAAAACTAAAACGCATGTAAGAAGTTATACTTCTTTAGCGTACCAAAACTAATATAACCTCAATAACTTCAAAAATAACTTCAATTTGCCCGTGCATCGTAAATATCGACAACTTCGTGGTGTCGATTTTTCGGTCGCATTTAACTTCACTTTCCAAAACGGGCCAAAAGAAGTAAAACTTCAAAAGAATTCTTTATTACTTTTTTAATTACGGATTTTGTTATAAATAATTATTAGATATTATCAATCGTCGGTCTCTTATCGATCGAACAAGAGAACTAACAGAAGAACAAACCGATCTATCGATCTAGAACCGAGATCTTCCATACCGACTGATCGTCATCTTTTCTGTTTATACATATTGAAATCGTAAAGATGTAACTCTAAAGTCAAATTACCAACACGAACAGAAACGCTTATTATTATTTACAATGAATAAGTAAATCCATATCTTGAAAAATAAAATGTAAATAAAAATATTTTTGTTTATCTTAAAAAAAGAAAAAAAGAAAGATTAAACTCAACTGCAATATCTACATCCACGTATCAACATCCTATCTCTCTATAAAGTCAATATATCTACAATGTATAATTAAAAGAACGATTGAAAATAGAAAGCATCGAAACGCCCTTTCATCGTCCGTTTTCCCTCTCGATTCGTACTCTCTAGCAAGCTAAAAAATAAAAATAAATTTAAAAAAAAAAGAGAGAGAATGAAAAAAAGAGAAAAAGAGAACAAATGAAAAATAAATAAAATAAACGAAGAGGAAGATCGGTAGCTGCGATAACGTACGATTATATAGAAATTACACGTGGATCGTTTCTCTCGGGGCGAGAGAAAGAAAAAGCGTCCGAGCCGATCGAATATCGGAGAGGCGAATAGAATATAGGAGAATAGTAGTTGGGAGTGCGTTGGACTGGTGTACACAGGTATACAGACAAACGTATGGTTGTATATGCGTGCGTGTGAATGCGTCGGACAGCAATACATACGAGAGAGGCATTTGAGCCGAGCACGAGCCGGCAGGTGGGGGTCCTCGTCGGAAAAGGTGGAGGAGGGTAAAGGGGCTGAAGGGGTAAACGTGGACGAGGGTGGGGCCCTTGGGAGTTTGTTGTACACGAGAACGGGGCTTGGGTCGGACGCGGGACGATCGCGATTAACATTCCGGCCGCTAGCTCGCTGTTCGCGCGGCGCTTTCATTAATTCCAGCGTATTGATTCCCTGGATTGATGAATGGCCGCCGATAGCGATTCCATGCGCGCCGTATACCTCTTCCACCCTTTCCTCCTGTATAAATTCAACCTCTCTCCCAGGATTTGAACTCAATTCCCGCTCTGCTGTAGGATCGCTTTGTACTCTTTCTCCTTCGAATATCCGTTTTCGTTTTCTTCCCCTTTTTTCGTCCTTTTACTGAACGAATATCACTAATCGTTTTTCTAATAACCTCCTTCTCTCGATCGGCACTCTCTCAACGAGGAATTTATCACTCTACTACTTCGAGTCTCGAATCTCCCTTGTTTTTTATTATTTTATTCTGAGAGAAAGGGATAATAGGTTATGTATGAATAATAATGGCGACTACTAAGGATTAAGTTCCTTTTTCTTTTATCTTTTATTTTCACGTCAGTCTTTAAGAGACTATTGTTTCTTTTACAAATTATCTGTTCCAGAGAGAATGTCAGTTGCTTTTCCAAGAAGCAATGGACAAACGTAAACTTGTTGAAATCTATTTTATAGGGATTAAAAATGGAATAACTCTGCTATTATCTATTATTCTCGATCGCCATTAATTTTGAACTTCGTTTAGTAGTGACATCCTTCGGTATAATCATAAAGCAAGTAATCGTCGAAGGTCTAAGGAGTTCAAAGTTCTCCCCGTAGATGGCGATCGCGATAGGTCAGAAGCAATGGAAAAAACGGGGTGGAGCGTGTCTGACAGCTGGGTGGGTTCGAGGCCAAGGTGATTGAAAACAGGGTGGAGCGTCACGTGACGCCATAGTCGAGTATGACGTCAGAAAGCTATGATGGCCTCTATTTAACAAAATGGCTCCTACAATCCTTTTGTCCTCAGTCGCGATTTTCAACACGATAACACGTTATCAAACATTACGGGAGTAATCAAATTGACATTTGCTAATCCTATTAAATCGTTCAACAAGAATTTATCGATGATACAAATGAGTACGAGAAAGATATAAGATAAAGTCAATTATCATTCTTGATACTGCGTCTCAATGAGTGCAAAAAAAGTAAGAATAAATTAATTAATCACTATTAATTAATAACAATTTGATCTTAGAATTCATATTACTAATTTAAATTACTGATTTATCCTCAATGATGTACATTTTAATACTAGATTCTAAATACTGGTTGAAAAAATTCAATTACAATTTAAATAAATTAAAAATGAAAGAAAAAAAAACATCTTCATATTCCATATTATTCAGGGATATTAATTTTTTCTCGCAAACTGATGTAGACATCGACGTTGACGTTTAATCGTGAATCAGCGTTGGTTAATAAAACAAGTTAAAAGAAGAATTTGATTTATGTGAAATTCTAGCGAAAAGCATACGGCTTGATAGTTATTGGATAGTATATTATATGTATATGTATAAAGGAAAAATAACAGGCGTTTAGATGTAACACCTATGCGATAAAATGCATATAGATATACCGTTGTAAAGATGAACGTAAATGAAACAAGCGGATTAAAATGAACGGCGGAACGTCGCGGGCAGCTGGTCTCCTAAAGATTAGAGAGCCATAAATGACACTTGGATTTGACAGTTATGGGTTGCGGGAGCTCGTGCCGAGAGTCGTTTGCCACGCCATAAAACAGTCGTAAAGCAACGGGCGCCATAAAGAGAATACATCCGAAGGAGAAGGAGAAGGAAGAAGAAGAATAATAAGAAGAAGAAGAACCACCTACGTGGTGGCAAAACGAGCATTGGCTAAAAAGTTACGAGTCCTCGACCTTGCATCGTGTGCTCTACCCGACGGACCGTTTAACATTTACGCAGCTCTCTCTTTCTCGACTCTTCCGCGTTCAAAGCGACTCGACTGACTACTCTCCATCGTTTTATACTTTCTTTTATCTTTTTAAACGATCCTTCTTTTTCTTTCTCTTCCTTTCTTTTCTTTTCTTTAGTGACCATAAACTTAGGTTAAGTGTCTTGGCTTAAAAGGTCCCTTATATACTCCTTCCGTATAACGTTGAATAAAATTTAAGAGTAACATGAAAAATGTGATGATTCAACGAAAGTGTTTGAAAGATCAAAGTAACGTTATATCCTATTATATTATATAATTGGATTAATTACTTGAGTAAATATAACGCAAATTTAAATATTAATTTGTATCGATAAACATCGCGCGATGACAATTTTAATATCAGATGTTCAA